AATAAAGGAAAAGGATCGGTGCTTGGGAAAAAAAAAAAAAAAAAAAAAAAAGAGCCAGGTTCAGACATTTCATAGCTAGGTTCTTTTCAATCTTTACGAAACAGATTTCCAGTTCTTTCTACAAAGTAAGCTTAATACTGATATAAAAGCCAGGAAAAGCTGATACACACACAAAAAAACTACAAAACTAATGTCAATTATTTAAAATGATGCAAAGTCATAAGTGAAGTATGAACAAATAGAATACAATGTATGTTAACCATGACTAAAAGTGCAATGTTGGAAAATCTGTTATTGCAATTCATCATATTGACAAGTCACAGAACACAATGATACTCTGAGATCTTGACTCATGAATTAAAGGCAAAGATTTTGACTAGTCAGATACTTTTCTAACATAATAAAATATGCAGCAAACAATAATTCCCATAATCAGAAACAAGGCAAAGTACCACAAAAAGTAACCCAGGGAAGAGCAGTTTATTTTCACACTGAAAATAATCAACTAAAAAATTTACTTAAAAACAAACATAGGTACAATAAAAATGTAACATAACTAGGAATATAGAAGAAATTCAAAGTTACCTCCTACACAAAGTAACTCTTAAGAAAAAAAGAATAAGGCACAGAATATCACTATATAGAGAGAGTGAAGGTACAACAGTATGCTCAAAAAGCAGAGCACAACACTAACACTACTTCAAACAGAGCTAAAAGACATTAAAAACTAAAAAATATACATATACAAGATATGGAGGACAAGATAAATCAAAATTTAGGTGACAGAACTCAAGATACCTTTATCCCATTAAAAAGGACAAGCAGACAAGCCTGGAACAGCTAGAGCAACAGAAGATACATCTTCAAAGAAAGATCATCAGGAAAAACCCAAAACAAAAATGGCAGTATGACTAGCTACTACAAGAATAAGCAAGTTGTTCGCTGAGAAGCTATCAAGGCAAGCAATCAAGTTCCTTCAGGAAAACTCCCCCTCTAAGACTGAAACTCAAAGGCATGTAAGCTTGCTGGTGCCCATGTTGGTTTACTAGTGAGGGGAAAGGTGGTTGGTGGTGGTTATGTGCCGTGGAGTCAGTTCCGACTCATAGCGACCCTGTACAGGGTTTCTGAGGCTGTAAATCTTAACAGGAGCAGAAAGCCTCATGTTTCTCTCGCGGAACAGCTGGTAGTTCAAACTGCTGACCTTAAGATTCACAGCCCAATTCGTAACCACTACGCTACCAGAGTAGCAATGAAGAAATGGGCAGAGTTCAACCACGTTCCAGACTCCTGTTGACCTGGAGATGAGAGAGAGAAGCGCAAGGACTGGTTGGTCCAAAGTGTGGTGAGACCTGGGGACACCTGAGCCCATGGACAAGGACATAGCCACAGAGGGCTAGAGCTTACAGTGAAGCATCCAGCTGATAGGAAGTGAGAAGACTTACACAAGAACAACCAAAGTTGCAGATAGCACCCATGTGACCTAGCCTTGATGGCTTGATAATCAGAACTCGACTAGAGGAAGATGAGGAAAAAAACCCCAAAACAAAACAAAAGAATTGTTTATACAGGAAATGAGGGTAAATTGCTACAACTGGATGAACTTGACCTATACTCATGGAGAGGAAGGAGTCTTCACATCAAGTATCAATGCTATCCCCTCTGTACACAGGGTAGATATGGATGGGCAACTTAGATATTAGCTACCTAAAGTGAGGGGGCAATAAAGGCATGAAGTGACTGGCTTACTTCAAGGGGGAGTTTAGTTTAATAGTGTGTGTAGGAAGGAAGAGTCCCCACTTAACAGTTTTCATGTTGTCTAGATGGATCTGGTTAAAAGAGATGGGGATAAGATTCTTATGATTCAATAGTGAGTAATTGTTATCATGATTAATTTCAACTGTTACAATTCTAAAGGTAGAAGTTTTGTAGTGAAAACAGGGGAGGAGTTACAGTCCAGAAACAAAGACGCTGCTAGGATCATCAAGGGGGAAGAGCACAAGCGGAATGCAGGACTTTATCCAGAGAAGCAGTGACACCAGAGATGGAGGCAGAGATGGGGACATGGAGAGAAGGAGCAGCTGAGGACTCTCGATTCATGGGAAGAGAGGGACTAAGAGCTGGCAGCCAGGAGGCAGACTTGCAGAATGTGCCCTTTGGTGGTATAAATGATTATATATGTCTGAGTGTTTAAAAATAAAAAGAGCTAAAGTGAAGAGAGAGAAATACTGTTAACGATGGTACATGGAGGGGATTATAATCATTGTAATGAAACAAGGTGTATGAGTTGTTGAATGTAAAACCGATGATCTGCCCTGTAGACTTTCACTCAATCCACAATAAAAACCTTAAAAAAAAGTTATTGGGAAAATAGAATGAAAAGATAATGGAATTTTTCCATGAACTTTTTTCAAACCCACCAGCCGTTCCTTGGAAACTGTCAACAGAGTTGTTATGAGTCAGAACTGACTCGATGGCACTTACCAAAAACACCAAGGAAGACCAGTAAATACAACTACTATTCATACTTAGCTACCAACCACTGAAGTCAGTGATGATGAAATTAAAGAACGCTACCAACTTCCTCAGTCTGAAATTGATCAAACATGCAATTAAGATGCATTGATAATTACTGGTTTTGGAATGCAAAGGTTGGAAACAAAGTAGAAGAATGACTAGTTGGAAAATATGGACTTAGTGACAGAAATTATGCTGGAGATTGCATCACAGAATTTTATACGACCAACAACTTTTTCATTGCAAATAAGTTCTTTAAACAATATAAAAGGCAATTATAGAGGCAGGCTTTGATGGCGGATAGAAGTGCAGTGAAGATCTCCATCAGCAATACCACAGAATACTAGGCAAAGCAGATTTAGGGGAGAGCTCCAAAACTCTGAATCACATATATCGGAATATTTTTAAAATTTGAAGGCTTATACCTAGTGGAACTTGTAGTGGAAATAAGAAATCTTGGACTTCTGAATCTGCCGGGCTCAGTGGCCCGGAGCCAACAAATTGGGCAAGATCAAACAGCAAGACCAAGCGGGGGAGCAAGCAGACCCGCCACAGACTAATGTTGTGGGAACCCTGGCGCAAAGCAAAGGTGGACAATATAATTTGTTTTGTTCTGATTTTATTTTCGACATCTGTTCATTGGCCTCTAGCTGTCTGCTCACCTCCATTCTGGTGACTAGAGGGGGGTGCCTGAGCAAGTGGACACCCCCAACCCCCACCACTGGAGGGTTCCCTTACCACACATGTGCACAGATCCTCTCAGCGGTCAAAGGACCAGTACGCGCTTAAAATCATCAGCTAAAATTGACCACAGCTGGCCCTAAGCTGTTTATTAATAGGGAAAAGGCCAGAGCAGGGGTCATTTAAAAGGCCAGTTCCCGCTTAAAACCAGCAGCACAAAATGGCCAGCGCTGGCCCTGAACTGTTTATTAATAGGGAAAAGGCCAGAACAGGGAGTGGGGAGAGGGATAAAATTTAAAAACAAAACAGACCGGAAATTAAATCCTGAGGTACAGCATAA